TATTATTAAAAAATAAAAATTAATCTTTATATAACTAGCTAATTAAAATGATTTATGTGACAATAGTAATAAAATCAATGACAATTTTTAAATTTTTTAATAATAGTTAATGTAAAAAAAGTACAATAATTACACTCTTAAGGTATAGATTAAACAAATTTTTTATACTAAAATAGTGATATCTAACATGTATTAGTATTTTATCTATTCTAAAATAATAATTATTTTTTTACTTAAAATTTGTCTAAAATTAATTTTTATTTTTTCATCTTTTAAATATTACCGGAGACATTTCTTTCATACCTTAATCCTATTATTATTCACCTATCACTAAATTTTTTTTTATTTTTTATTTTTATTTTTAAAGATAATATAAATAAATATATATATTATTCCTAAATTGTGAAAAAAGTAACAACAATCGTTTTGAAACATTGGAGTACCTTTTAAAAAAAGAAATAAAGATAAAAAAAGAATTTTGTAATAAAATGAATAATTAAAGTTAAAAGATGATGATAGGATTATATAAAAAAATATTTATTTCTTTAAAAAGAAAAAAATCAATCTCTAACAATTTCTAAGTCAAACGACCAGCGAGAGAGAGTAGAACTTTGTATATATTTTTTGAAAGGCCAAGTAGAATTTTGTACGTGAATCTAGAAATCAAGCTAAGAATTTTCAAATCGCCAACCATCCTGGAAAGCAGGTAATATTCTCAGAAGTGGGTGCAACTAGGATTGTGGTTTTGAACGCAACCCCCTTCCGTACCATTTAAAGGACAAACACATTATTGTAATAACTGTCAACTTCAAATAAAAAAAAAAAAAGAATTTAGTGGACTTTTGTCAAATTAATATTTTCTAGCAATACAAGGTATTATAGTGTTAGTCAAGCCAGTGAGTTGAGTTTTTCTTTGAACTTCAGTGTTTGGGCGGTCCCAGAACATGCATAGAAACGTACATTTCATCTCTTTTTATCAAAAAAAAAATAAAATTTTCATCTCTCTACTACTTATAAATTTCCACCTATACTGTTTTCTAAATCTCAAATCTAATAAGCATTTGAGGAACGAAAGAAATGATGATCATCCGAACATCATCTATCTTTGCTTTCTTAGTACTGCTAATGATTGACTCAGCAGTCAGCCAGGATCTGGTGAAGCCTGGTTGTCAAGAGTTTTGTGGGAATGTCAGCATTCCATACCCCTTTGGAATCGGAGCAGGTTGCTACATGGACAAAGGGTTTGAGGTCTACTGTAACGCTTCCAAAATTCCGAGCATAATCCTAAACAACGAAACCTTAGAGGTACTGTATATCTCTCTTGATCTCAGCTTTATTAGCATCAAACTACCCACAAACTGCATGGACCCTGACAGAATCTTGCAACATTTGAGTCTTTATAAAAGTCCTTTTAGGTCTGTCCGGTCAACCATCGACGAACATTATGTTCCAGGCGTGTTAGAATGGGCGATTACTGAGGAGGATGTATCAAAATTACCACGTACAAATGAGAGTGGATTTAATTGTTCCGAGTTTAGTGGTATTAATGATACTATTGGTCATGGTTATCACATCTTGTTTCCCTCACCTTTTTTACCAACTCCACCTCCACCTCCAATCTTCGGACCCCCCCTAAGCGTCGCAAGCCCCTCAAGCCCGCCGAAACCGCCAAGTAAACGATGCGTTTGTGAACGTGGATTTCAAGGCAATCCTTATCTACCTCATGGATGTCACGGTGAACTTCTATCTCCACTTTTTCTTTAGTTATATCTGTGTTTTGTTTCTTTTATTTATAATAGTTAATATTTATTAATTTTTTACAATCATCTATCAACTGAGTTTTGTTTAAAAACATTAAACATAATAAGAAAAAAAAATGGTTTTAGTGCTTGTAACATAAGTTTTTTTAGAAAACATGGATATTTATTCGGCCTTTTGATCCTGGTTAGTTTTACAAGAACCTGCAATAAAACTAACCAACGGCAGCAGGCATAGCCGTTGGAGATTTTTCTATGCCTAT